AACTCTCCAAGACAGTTTAATTATTCGCACGTGTGCATGCATGCATCTGTGCGCGTGCATACATGCTCGTGTGTGTGCATGTGTGTGTGTACATGTATTCATATATATGCGGACACACATAGGAATGCGCACAGAAGCAGATAAGCAAGTGTGAAATAATACATGTATTGCTACTGCTACTGCTAATGGCACCTACCAAAACCCGACATTAAGTATAGATGCTATTACAGTGAGGATGACTCAATATGTTCACTCCCCTGCCCTATATATCTGCGCACTCACTTACACACAGGGTGCATGCTGGCTACTTCAAAACATACAGTGAACTCCTTCAAGGAAATCATATACACTATACAGTAACATTCTCTGTCGACATTGAAATGGATATTTGGTAAACGGAACAGGAATAAAATTGCACGCACACACAAGCGCATCCATCGTACACTCACATACGTACATACATACACACAAACATCCATACAAAGGTTCCTTTACAGTAACAACTAAAACAAGTGCACACATACATGTGCACGCACACGCACACGCACACGCACTCACTCACGCATGCACACACACACGCGTGACGCGCGCGAATACAAACATTCACAGTAACAAACATGTGTCTGGTATTAGTAATAGTGACTGAGGCATATATCTGCTATGTACAGCAGTGCATAATATATATTCTGTCTCATGATTCATTCAAAGCATCTTCATAGATTATAGAGCAACACACTATTGACGGAGAGGGTTAGAGAAAAACTAGCATATCTACTAACTAATATAACCACAAATCTATGTGCATACCTACATATAAACGAATTACAGTCATATGTAATAAAATTAATTGCCCAATTACCTATTTTTTTCACTTTAATCACTGCAACCTTTCACCATCACTTCACCTTACCATATTATGTACTTTTTTGTAAACTTGTAAGTGCTTTTGTGCAAGCGCTACACACAGGCACTTGGAACGACTCAATAAAAAAAAAGGTAAATAAACACGAAATGTATTACCAAAGTCTTAATGTTTCTCTACTCTATTTTGCCTATAATCACCTGTTAATGCCGGTCAAATGCTCATCTGCAACACACAAGTACACCGCAAGCTAGCTGCTGCACACTGACACATAAATATATAGCAGGTTACTGATAGGAAAGCGTGCTACCAAAATTTGCTCGACGCTCGCTTGATTTCATACGAATACAACACAAATATTCAACCATTCTACTCCATCTTTGTTTCTATTTGAAGAACAGTGTGCACTTGTTATAAAAACATACTGTCTGTGTTCGTAACCGAGCTGTGTCACGCGAAATCACACAAAGCCTGACGAAATTCTCGCGTTCGCTTTCGTTGCGCAGTTTATGTAAATGGCTGTCGGAATCAGGAAACACCCACCGGCGCTCTTCGTGACCTCATTTTTGCGCCGCGACGCTGCAGCGTTTTTGCAACGCTCCACTGGCGGCTTTGACGAGGCTCGTACGGGAGTTGGAAAGCAGCGTGGTAGTTTCCCAAAATGCAGTGCGCCGCCTATAAGTATAACCCTGTACTTGCAGCCATTTACATCAGGAGTAGATAATAGGGAGGAGTGTGACATCAATAAACAAGGGAAATTCGTCATTTACTAGCCTGTAAAATACCTCGATTTACTACACGTTAATATCGATCAAACTTGAGCTAATCGGACCAGTACATTCTGCCATGCATTCGTACGAAATCGTTTCTGTTAGCACGACATCCGTTACGATACAGGGCCTAATAACGTACGACACGACTTCTCCATTTTGGGCCATCATGCCAACCCATTGCGCGGCGTATAGATTACAAAAAGGCAGCTACTGAACGCAGTTTGCTACTGAGCGAGGCATGTGGCTCGACTAGGAGAGATTAGTTCAACAATCGGCGAAGATTAACTTTTCCCGGTACACGATACACAGGCGCACTTTGTACTAGTGGCATGCCTTCAGCGCACGCACCAGCAATGATTAGTCGTCGAGTGTTGGTCGACTCAATCTCCTGCGAGCCGACAACGCCCATTCAGCTATACGAGGAAGCAAAACACGCCAGGTTGTGCCTTTTGTCTGAATTTATAGCGGCGCAATGAGGGCGTTGGATTAATGGCCAGGAGATGGAGAATCGCTTGTCGTACGTTTTAGGTGTATCTTACGGATTGCGGGTGTCTAGACGGAAACGTTTCGTCGATGATGCAGGCCGAATGTATGTACGATTTGAGCTCAAGTTGGATGGAGTACAGCGTTATGTCAAAGCTGTAGGTGTATTTAAGGCTAGTAGAATGACGAATTCCTTGTTTATTGATGTCCACATCCTCCTATTATCTACTCTGATTTACATAATGCGCAACGGGAGAGATGAACGCAAGAATTTTAGTCAGGCTTTGGTGTGATTTCAGCGCTGACACAGCTCGGGTTACGAACACGACAGTATGTTTGTTTATAACAAGTAGACACTGTTCTTCAAATAGAAAGAAAGATGGAACGTAGAATGGTTGATGACTTTGTGTTGCTATTTGTATGAATATCACGCGAGGTCGAAAATTTTGGCAGCACGCTTTCCTACCTGCTATATATTTATGTGTCAGTGTGCAGCAGCTAGCGTGCGGTGTACTTGTGTGTTGCAGATGAGCATTTGGACAGCCTTTACAGGAAATTGTCGGCAATAATAGTTGAAAGAGAGTAGAGAAACATTAAGACTTTGGTAGTAAATAGATTTTGTATTTATTTAGCATTATATTTTATTGAAACGCTCCAAGTGCCTGTGGCGCTACATCATACATGGTAAACCATTGATCGGACTTCATTTAGTCATCAACCTTACCTCTTTGCCTTTCGTTTCCCCTCGTTCGAACCATTCCACTGTGACACTGCTGGTTTCAACATTGACGCCACTGATGACAGCCGAATGTATGCGACCTTTAAATCATGGCAACCAGAGAAATTTGGGATTTAGTACACTAAAATGGAGAATTCGTTCTAAAAATAGGACAATGGGAGAAAGAAAACATCCAAAGATAGCCATTATTATTAATTAGTTAAAATAAACTCTTGGCAATAAAAACAATGTCAATAATAATAACAGGAAATTGGGATTACGTCGTTTGACCTGAACTCAAGTCGAAAACAAGGCCCATCTTATAATATCTGTAACATAACTGAAACTGATATTAATTTATGTGAGTAAACACAATCACAATGAATCAACCGAATGAAGTGAAGTGTTGTTGTTCGAGTCAAGACAGACTTCGTTTCACTAGTGTTAGCAGTTCATTTCTTACTGGATAGAATTGACATTACAAAACTGATTCAAGCTATTAGCCTTCCGAACGTTTCAAGCTAACGACATTTTCATTACAACTTAAAAACGATTCTAAGCACAGAATAAACCATCATGATTCATGAATCATCATGTTCAATGGGCAATGCAATGGATGAGCAAAATGCTGAACTCTTACCATCTGTTCGTTGGATATCCACGTTCACGCCTACTGCTAAACCTTCCATCCTTGTTTCTCCAGATATATTTGCAGTCACTGCGTATTTACATGTTATAAAAATGTTTAATATACGATTCTAAATGACACTACACTTAGCAAACTCTCCGAGTAGTCAAATATTTTCCGTTGAGAATTTGAACACAAACTGCGCATGCGCGAGAATCGTGTGCGACCGGTCACCTATGATATACCTGTTTCCTATGATATACGCCCGGTACTCAATCAAACGTTACACGTTTTACGTGTATGAGTTGTCTACATACGGTCGGTGAGCCATATAAGTGATAGAGAAAAACAGTAGAGACGTAATATAATAGGATAATAGATGAAGAGCAGCGGCAAGATTGTTGGAAATAAGCTAGAGAAGTGAATGAGGACAAATAAGGAAGGGAGCACTGTGGGTGAATGTGGTGGAGGAGGGTGGAACGGGAATAATTGCCGCAGGTAGCGGACGGAAGAACAGGAATGCGAGGGATGAAATAGACAGAAAGAGAAGAGGGTAGAGGAGGGGGAGATAAAGCAAATACAATGTGTAAGAAGTATATGTGGCGGGGGCGGGGATAAAGAAAGTGAGAAGGTTAAAGAGCGAAGGAGGAGGCGATAGGTACAGCTGTGTTAAGGTGGTAAAGGGCTGGAAGAGGTTGGAAAAAGAGGGCTTTAAGAGAAGAAAAGAGTGTTAGATAAAAAAAGGAAGGATGTGGGTAGGTGGAAGAGGAAGGGAGAGAAGGGGAGGAGGACGACGACGAGGGGGAGGAGGAGGAGGAGGAGGAGGAGGAGGAGAAGAAGAAGGAGGAGGAGGGTGAAATGGACGAAGAAGAACAGAAAGAGATGGTGGTGGAGGAGGAGATGGAAGAACAGGGGCAAACATGTGTAAATCATTAACTTGGTAAAGGCTGGACATGCATG